AGATGGAAGCAATTTATTGTTAGCAGATAAATCATTTCCAATGTGAATACAAGCAGATATAATGTTAAAATTAGTGGAGCTAATTTAAGTTATTAAAAACGATTAATTGAGATAAGAAGTATTGATTGAACTAAGACCACATTTAGAAAATATATGAAAGTCATTCACTGATTAAAGTGCTATTAATCTAACTCACACTTCGCCTTCAGGAGCATATTTAGAACCAGTTATTTCGATCTCATCAAATGAGAGAGGCCGTCCATCTCCACGAACACAAGAATCACTTCCGTTAAAAGTGAACACTCGACTGACGCTCATTTGGTTAGTTGTTAATGTGCCAGTTTTATCTGAGCAAATAACACTAGTACATCCCAACGTTTCTACACTAGGTAGAGTGCGAACTATTGCATTTTTTCGAGCCATTCGGCGTGTACCTAAGGCCAGGCAAGTGGTAATTACAGCAGGCAGGCCTTCCGGGATAGCAGCAACGGCTAGAGCAACAGCTATTTTGAAGTAATAGATAGCACCCCTAAGCCAAGAACCACCATGAACGGGGTCGTTAAAATGTCCAATATTAATAAGCCAGACTGCTATACAGATGAGAGATATCATCTAAAATCAAAATAAAGCGACAAATACAAATGACTATATAATAGCAACAAGTCAGTAGTTAAGAACTTCAAGGTGAATTTTTTAAAGTAAAATCTTAATTATATATAACAAGAAAAACATTTGTAGATCGTGAAAGGCTTGAAAGAAGTATAAGAATAGCAATAGATGTGGATTGTTACTTCACCACGTCCGTGACACCCAATAAAGACAACCTAAACGCGTTCGAAAATTTCGTACACATCTGAAGAAGATTAGTATAATCGATAGAAGATATATTTAGCCCTTCTTAATATAGCAATAATGAATCAAAACAGCCAATTAAAAATGAGCAAATTATTAAGGGAAACACTAATGATTATTTAAATTAGAGAAAAGCTATTTTAACTTAGATCAGGTAATAGAAACATGTGAATCTATTTTAACCCAAGAAATTTAAACGGAATATTTTAAATTTTCAAATAAAATATACTTTATTGCGTACCTTAGAAAGCTGTGTTCCAAATTCGTCGATCTTTTTACCTAAAGGAGTTTTTTCATCCTCTGTGGACATTATCTGATCTCGAATTTTGCCAATCTCAGTATTGAGCCCAGTTCCAATGACCACACCACGACACTTCCCCGAGGCCAGATTGGTACCGCTAAACAATATATTTTTTTTATCCTGATTAACGGCTTTAATATCCGGCACAGGATCAACGTGCTTCAAAACAGAAACAGATTCCCCCGTTAGAATAGATTGATCCACCCGAAGTGTGGTACTTGCTATGCCCGTGATGCGGATATCTGCTGGTACTTTATCTCCAACTACAAAAGTTAAAAAAGTAAAGTCCGTAGCATAATTTAACACTTAGTTATTGTAAAATGAGCCTGCTGACCTGCTATCTCAACAATATCCCCAGGCACGAGCTCTCGAGACTTGATACGCTGGATTCCATGATGAA